ATTGCCCTTACACTCCCAAGAGACACAGAGAGGGGGGAGACCGAGGGAGAGAGTGAGTGAGTGCGCGATGGGGAGGGGTAGGAGAAAGGTCTAGTCATGTGAGTCGCTCTGCCGTCTTCTGCCATTTGACGTTCCGACTTTTAGACTCTTCTTCTCTTCTTGTGTACCTTTTTGTTTGTAATTTAGCTTTTGCCTCCAGAAGCCACGGAACAGAACAAAAACAAGCAAGAGAAAACAAACAACAACAACAAAAAGTAAAAATGAGCAAAACGCAACAGAGAGAAGAACATCAGCAGCGGCAACAGGCAAGACAGACAGACAGACAGACAGACAGACAGACAGACAGAGACACGCAAAGCAAAAAGGCTATAAAAATGCCTTAAATGTCGTCCATACATAAATATCGCATATCGCATCTTACATATGTACATGTGTACATATATAATACTCATATATATATCTGTATCTGTATACCCAATATACGCGCTTTATTCTCTGCTTTTTCTTCGGGTCGCGCTGACAACAAAGCGCTAAAAAATGCAAGAAACATCAAGCCAAAGTCTTGGATACACTGCAATTGATGACGGTTGACTTTTGGGTGATAAATAACTATAAATGTTTTCGCATTTAGCCACAAATTAGATCAAAGCTAAGGCTGTGACATGCCCCAAATCGCTGCAGTTCTCTCTGCCAATCCACAATAAACCGAACTCTGCTGCTGCATTTGCCAGCCTCTGCTGGTAACGCTCATACCCTGCCGTAAGGGTATTTAAATAAACTTAAGAACAACCTGTTTGCATTGTTTTTGTGCTCAGCGGCCGCGGCAGTGACAGCGACAGCGACAGAGCGACAGGTTTTTTTTTTGTGTAAAAACTTAATGCGGGCCAAAATCTCAGTTCAGGCCGACCAGCCGCCTCCCCTTCAGCCGCCCCACACCGCCTGGTAGGGTGGAATTTGAAAGCTTAGACTAGTCTCTCTTCTGCTGCTGCTAGTGCTGGCTCCCCCCTGCCCTGCCGCTATCCGCTGTTGCTTCTTCCCCCATGTGGATCGTGATTCTTTTCGATTTTGTTCTAAGCTTCGCTCTCTCTCTCTCTCGCTCTCTCTGGTTCTCAGTCTGCGTCAAGCTGTTTGCGATGTGGTGGCCAGAGCGAGATGGAATGAAACCAGTTTTTGGAGCTTCACTTAACAAACTTTTGCTTTATTATCTTCGGGCCCTCTCACTCGCACAGCCACAGTGCCGGTCTTTTAATGGATCTTTGGATAGCTGTGGAAAGGGAAGGGTGAGCCGGGCAACCTGCTCTGAGAGCTGGAACTGTCGATCGATTCGTCTGTCCCTCAAATGATTCACCTGTAAAAAGTCGCGCATGAGTCAAAACCTGTACTACAGTGTGGTACACATGTGTATCATCGAAACTGCATTGCAAACCAAAACGAAATGCGAAATTCTTCTCGCACTCTCAAAGTCAGAGACAGAGGCAGAGGCAGAGGCAGAGCTCCTCCACTGACCTAGACCATGACTAATCGCTGAGCAATTGTCACTGCACTTTACGCTGTAAACTACTCGTTTCAGTTGCATTAAATATTTATGCGCTACATTTCGCTCTTCGATTAACTTTCCCCTAATTAAATGTCTTTCAATTAGCTGCTTTCCAAATGAGAAAAATTGTGGAATGGTATTGCCAGGGGAATGGATTGCAATCGATTAATGGCGGGGACAACAGATTTCGGTTTGATTAAATGCAAGTGAATAAAGGATTAGACTGGGTAAGCCGCCAAATACTCTTTGCCAATGATAGAACTTGGCAATTTTCCCCAATAACTCTGTTCCTGTAACGCACTATCCGCTGTTTGTTTGTGTTAAACACGAATTGGACATTGTGCGTAGAGAGTGAGAGAGAGAGAGAAGGGAATGGTCAAACAGAAATGATTGTCAAGGCATTTAGATAAGTGAGCAAGACAAGTGTACAAATAAAGTTACTCACGCACAAGCCTGCGATAGGGAAATAAAATGGATTGGCTTGTCCGTCCCCAGAGGAAGTGAAAAATGTTTACTCTCTGCGCCGCTGCTGAGTGATGGATAGACGACAGATGCAAACCAGATCCAGATTTCATGGAAATTTGAGAACAGAAACAACAAACGGATAGACAATCAATTTTGGCGACATTTAACTTGATCTCGTGGGTCCATAAATTACCTCCCCTAGATTAATTGTTGCGAATAAGCGAGTTAGTAGATACTCATATGCATATGAGACAAGAGAGCTGGAGAGTTGCTAGAAGTGTTCTGTGTTCTATCAGAAGTTTGCAATCTTTGCCGAGTTGTTGCCCGTTGGTTACCGGGAAACAGAGATACAAAGATACGAAGCGGAACATGTGTCGACGCTGTTGATGGTTGATCTATTATAAGAATTAGGTATTCCTTTTCGTCTAGGTTTCGGTTTCGGTGCGGGTTTGGTTTTGGTTTTGCTTGGGGGCTTAGCTGAACTGAACTCGACGCCGCGTTCAAGGTAAAGCGAAAATTTGCAATTAAATGAAATGAAAATTTCATGAGCTCTTCTTGCCCCCTCAGCGCTCAGGTGCGTTGAACCTGTCTCTAGTACCTACTCTTTCAGTGTGACCATAAAATGTTGTGTAGCAAAAGGAAAGAAAACGGGCTCGGTTTCAGATTTGAGGAACATTTCCGTAGACTCAATTCGGGCCTCCCTCTTTACCACCCCAACCGACTCTCTATTGCAGCTTTCGATTGTTCAGAGTATTAAATGAGGAGGAAGGCCCGCGAAGATGTATTTTGAACGCAAACAGGTGCGCAAAAAATACTAGAAAAACTACCAGGAGGTACCCAACGAGGTACAGCAGAGGAGCAAAGAACGAAGCAGAAGAAGTGCAGAGCGCTGAAAGCCTGAAACTCGAACCCATTGAGTCGGGCGCACACCAAAAAGCAGGAGGTAGCAGGAGAATTCGAACTCCTGCCCGAAGGAGCTGTAGAAGAAGGCAAAGCCGTTCTCCTTTTCTTTTTATTGGACCATTTGCCAGGGACAAGTCGCTTGTCCCCAGCCACATAGAGCGTGCAAGGATAACGGCCACAAAACGGCGACCGTCGGCTACCAAACGATGATGAAACGACGCTGGTCGAACAACGGGGGCTTCCTGCGCGTGCCGGAGGAGTCTTCCTCGGAGGTGACATCCTCCTCCAACGGCCTCGTGCTGCCCTCCGGCGTCAACATGTCCCCCTCGTCCCTGGACTCGCACGACTACTGCGACCAGGATCTCTGGCTCTGCGGCAACGATGGGCAATATGGCAACAGCAACGGCAGCGGTGTCGCTCTCGGTGTCGCCCAGCAGCTGCAACAGCAGCAGCAGCAGCAGCAGCAGCAGCAACAACAACAGCAGAGCGTCATCACGCTGGCGATGCACGGCTGCTCCAGCACCCTGCCCGCCCAGACCACCATCATTCCCATCAACAATGGCTCCACGAATGGCTCCAATGGAAATGGCCACTATGTGCCAGGTGCCACCAATCTAGGCGCCCTGGCCAACAGTCTCGGCCTGGTCAATGGCGGAGGGATGGTTAACGGAATGCAACAGCAGCAGCAGCAGCAACAGCAGCAGCAGATGCAGAATGGACACGGTCTCATCAATTCCACAACGCCCTCGACCACGACACCGCTGCACTTGCAGCAGAACGGTCTCGGTGTCGGACTCGGAGGAGGCGTCAATGGAATGAACCTAAATTCGCATCTTCACACAAATGGCAATTCGAATGGCCTTCTGGGAGGCGGCAACATCGGTGTCGGCATCGGTGGCGTAATTGGAGGTGTCGCAGGAGGCGGTGGCATGGGCATGGCCATGCAGCATACACCGCGCAGTGATTCAGCAAATTCCATTTCATCAGGTGAGTTCCCCAATAGGGTTATAGGTCGCCGTTTCTGAAGGAAACTTACTTAAATAATCAAATTTTAATCAAATCTAAATTCTGCAGAAATTCCAAGAGAAATACAATTCCCGAAATTGTCCCTGAATTTTGTGGGTTTTTATTTTCCTAATTGAATATTTCTGCATCACTTTTCTCTTAATTAAATATTTCCAAAAACTAAATGGTATTTTTTTTGGAAATATTCCCGTTCATAAATTGAGTCAAATATGTGGTTTGATTGTGCAGGCGAATTCCGCAAATTGTTGCCAGGGTTTTTCCTTTTTTCATCTCCCTTTTGTTTTATTTTCGAGCGTGCTCCGGACCACGCCCATCTGTTGCAGTGCATTGCACTAATTATATTTTATTACACGAAAGAGCATTTTATGAGGCATTTTTTATGGCGTTTCTTCTGATTCCACATCTCCAAACCCCCCCCAGCACACACTCTGTCTCTCTTGCTGTTTCTGTTTCTCTTTGCTGAAGTGTCGAGAGGATGGATGGATGGGGGAGCAGAGTCTTCAGAGTCAGTTTTCGTATGAGGCTGAGGGGGAAGAGGGCTGTGGAGTGAAGTGCAGGGCAATAAAACAGTGTGAAGGAGGGAGGCATGTCCATGTGCATGTGCATTGTTGTTCAGTTTATCAGCCAGCGCAATGGTACACTGCACACGCACACACACACACACAGACAGCAGCGAGAGAGAGTGAGAGAGAGAACGAGCCATGTGCTACGGGGAGTATAAGGGCGGTTTTAGTGGCTGTTGCTGTTGCTGCTCCCGGCAGCTGAAGCGGGACTGACGACTGACTGCAGCTCGATTACGAACCTACCTCAAGTTGTTCTATATTTAGGGCCTCCCCGCAGCGAACGAGCAACCGAGTCGAAGGAATTCTTCTCCATCTTCTCCATCTTTTGCTTCTTCTTTATGCTTGTTTTTTTCCCCCCCATCCATCCCCTGCCTCCTTCGGCTGTAACTGGCTGCAATTGTGCAGCGGTCGCCGTGACGTCATCCGGTCTCGGTCTCTGTCTCGGTCTCGGTCTCCGTTTCGTGGCAGCCTTCGGTTGCTGTGGAATTGACCTCGTGCCAAATGCAGTGACCGGGTAAACCAGGTCAGGTCGGGGTCAGGCTCCTCTCGGGACAGTCACTTGGACAGGGGTTGCAGGATTGCATTTGCATTTCGAACCAAATTGTGCGGATGCGTGGGAGTTCAAGGACACAGCACAATCTGTAATCGATGCAGGCAGGCAGGCTGCCATTGCGTCTATGACTGTGACTGTGACACAATTTCCAAGTGTTAGCACCGGGGCAGGGTCATTAGAGTGGCAAAAGAAAGAGAGAAGAGGAGCTGCATTAGATGCTGGAAGCGATTAAAAGCTTGAATCCTCCTTCTGAGGATTTATTTAAGTAGGAAAAGTAAAGTAAACATTTCCAGTTCTAATTTATTTTCTTAAATTCGCAAAATTCAATGAAATTTGCTTACTTTCTGCCGCATCTGTTTATCCTGACTTGAGCTCTTAGTTAGTATTTCCTTGAAACCATCGAGTATGTTCCATCAAACAGACTATATTTAGGTCACACTCAAACTAGGGCACGCCTTTGATCCAGGCCAAGCGGCGGGCAAGACAGCAACAAAATGTACCGCAAGGACAAACTGAACTGAACTTAACTGTCAATGTGCACACATGCAGCGGTCTCTCTCTCTCTCTCTGTCTCGCGCGCTACGTGCCTGTGCGAAAAGTGTGACAAGCTCAAGTACACGACCTTAGCCCCTGAAAGAGATGGCTGCTGTTTCTGTGGCTGCTGCTGCTAACTGCAGTGCAAGGCAGCAACAGCATCATGCTTGCGTTAGTGTGTGTGTGTGTGTGCATGTGCGTGCTCTTTGAACAACTGTTTTTTTTGTTGTTTTGCTGTTACGATTCTATTCTGTTTCGTTTCTGGACATACGGGTTGTTGTTTGTTTCGGCTGCGCTGCGTTGCGAGCTTATTTGCATTTCTTTTGTCCAACTTTCTTGGGGGTTGCTCGATATTTTTCTATGACATAATTTGTGCTGTGCCGGTGCTGTACGATGCGATACGCGTATCTGCGGGCTGTACGCGCTTCAAGCCGATCCTAAAGCTCAAGGACAGCAACAAATAAAGGTGGAACGGTGCGCCGCGGCGCGGCATCGGAGCAGCAGAGTTATACAATGACAAACAATTGAAACAAAATATACTCGGGGTAGTGCTGTTGTGCTCGTAGTATTTGTGTGAACGATAAAACCAGAACGATAACGCCAGTTGACAAGTTTTTTGCTTGTCTCTCTGACGACGACGACAACTTGCACTACGCCACACACTCTTGCAATTACCCACCTTATATCTACATGTGTGTGTGTCCGTATTCGCATGACGAAAAAATTGAGGTCAATGATTTTGTGCCGCCATTTCACAGTTGCTATCGACAATCGCGATCAGCCGAACGGCAAGCGCAGCGCAGCAGCAGAGAGCACTTCGTGTGCAAGCGAAGCGCCAAGAACCGAACGAGCGGCCGACCGTCCGAGCACCAAAACTAATGAGCGCAAAAGCGTAATTACGCTCTCCCGCTCATTGGCGCTCGTGGAGCAAAAGGGCCAGGCGGGGCGGTATGGTGCGGGGCGGTCTGGTCTGTTGACGCCCGCATTGCTCATGATCGCACTTCCAGTCTCTCTCTCTCCCCGCCTCTACATTCGCTTTGAAGCTCCTCCTCTGCCCTCTTTGAAAAACACCTACCCCTCTCCCACCCTTCGCGATACAATGTACGGGTGGGTATCTACTTTGTTGTAAGCGAGATGCACACACCACCGTCGACGCCGACGCCGACGCCCGCCTGACATTGATAAGCTCCCCTCCCCGACTCTGCTGGCACTACAATTGCTTGACTTTGACTTTTAGACGTATTTATTTATATTTATGCAAAATATTCTGTTTGCCATGGATGGAAAACGATTAGGATCTCAGAGTTATGGAAGTTAACCCTCACCAGAGATCATAACTAATGGATCTACTATTGCAGAAAGTGAATCTTAGCAAAAATATACGTAAACTTGTTCTGTGCTCAATCGGAAATGTATTGTGAATTCCTGGCACTAGAACAACTGACACCCTTATTAATGGAATTTGTTTGTCACTCTTCAATGATTTCATTTAGCATTTCCCTCGCACAGATAAGTAAAACAAAACTTGATTCATATTCAAATTTCAAAAACATTTGAAAACGCCTAACTGCATTTGGCGGCCATCTTGCAAGTTAGTCACTCGCACAGCAGTGACGTCACAGGCCATAGAAAGCGCTCTGTAACGCCATATGTGTGTGTGTGTGTGTGATTGTGTATTGCATTATTTTTGGCTATTTTCGAAGAATTTGCAAAGAGAGAATGGGACAGGGAGATAGAGAGAGTAAGAGAAGAAGCCAACTGGAGACATTCAAGTGCAATAAAACGCTATCACAAGCTCTCTCACGGTGCTCCTCTATCTCTCTCTCTCTCTCTATGCGAACACGTTTTTATAGGTTAATGACACAACCGGACCGGCCTGCAGCTGGGGACTATGACTATAGCAAGTCAACGCAACGCAACTAGAAATAATTTATATACTAAATATATTTATATTCACTTGGAATCAGCAAAAAACAATAACGGCAACAACAACACACGAGCACAGCTGCAAGTCCGAAAGCGAAACAGCGATAGGAGCGATAATCGAAAAGTGAAATTTAATTGTGCAAAAATATTCCAAAAATGTTTGCTGTTGTTTTAGAAATATTTACACTCGTTTTGCTCCACTGTGGCTGCCGCAAGCAGCCAGGCGCTAAAAATATTATAATTATTATTTAAAAACAAAAAATAAAAATGGCCCAAAGTATGTCAGTAGTGTGTATGCACAAATGATGTCCAAAATACAATAAAAATAGAGTGAAAAAATAGAAAAAGAAATTGGGAAATATTTTTGTATATAAAAACACACACACTAACACACAGAGGAACGTGTCTATTCTTGATTAGCCGCCAGAGAAAGAAAGAAAAAGTGGAAGACAGCAAGACAGCAAACAAAAGAAATTAAAGACCTAGAGCAAAAGATTCCAAAATAGAGAAAGAATTTCGGATAAGTTCTTACAAATAACTTGTGAAAAGTTACCAAGAGAAACTTTTATGTCATATCATCTCTCTCGCACTCTGTCTCTCTTGCTCTGGGTAGAGTAACATCTGTTAGATAAGCTACCAAAACCAAGGTCTTGTTAGGGACCAACTAACACACTTACACTCATAAAGTGCCATCTCATTTCTCTTTCTCCCCAAGTCTCTCTGTGGCTTCTTCTCTTTCTGTGATATTCTCTCCCACTCTGGCTACCAATTAGTGCAGCATTCTTGACTGCTCTGCGACTGACTCCGACAACTTTCTTCTGTTTGGACAAAACGAGTTTCCGCCGTCAGACACCATTCGTTTGGTATTCTGCTTCTTGACTTTCTTCTTCACTTCGGGACGGGACTGACTTCGGGCTTCTATAAAAGCAATAAAGTTGTCTCACTTTCTTTCGTCTTGCGGTGTCTCTCTCTGCATCTCTCTCTCTCTCTCTCTCTCTCTCTCTCTCTGTCTCTCTTTTGGGGCGGGTGAAAGTTGTTGTTGGCTGCTGCTGAAGCATGATTTTCCACTTTTTCTTTGCCCCCCTTTTCCGTGGCATGTTCGTTCGCCGATGTTCAACTGCAATCGCGCGGAGCAGAGAGAGATGGAATGCATTTTTCTGATTTATGCACCGCTGATTGCTTGCAAATTTTTCCTTCGGCAACATCTTGCTGATTTAACATAAATTTCCCATTGTCTGCCAATTGTTGAACTTGAAACACACACAGCTGAAAAATGGGGAAAATGGGTGTAAAAGACAGAGAGTAAAGTGGGGAAAGGCTGGCTGCCTTGATTGATCCTCAAATGCAAAATGTGTACATAAATCTCCTCCTCCATCCACTCGGCG